AGTTAGAGGGTTCAGGGAAGCAGCCTCCCCGCCAGCCCAACCACCACTGGAAGTCGCTTTGGCTGCAGCCTCCTCCCCAGGCTGCCAGGTCACCTCACAGATTCTCCCAGCCTATGCTTCTGCTCCAGAGAGAGCTTCTGATTTAAGAGGGAGGAGGGAGGAGGGAGAGGCTGGGGGTGGGTGGAGCCTGGCTTGGAGGCAGGATGTGAGGCTGTGTGTGTGTGTGTGTGTGTTTGTGTGTACGCACGTGTGTGGCACACGGAGACAGAAGGAAGGACAGGGAGACCGCCTGGGAGGGGGTGGGCAGGGCCTCTGGCTGTGCCCCCTCCACTCTCTGAGCTGGGGTGGGGAACTTCAGAGCCCAGGAACAAGCCTTTCTCAACCTTACCGGCCCGAGACAGGGAAAGACAGAGGGAAAGTCCAGACTGGTGACAGCAGATCAGGGCACTCCCAGGTTCTGGAAAATGAAGTCATCCTGTTGAGGGTCAAGTAAGGTACTAGGGAATGCTGACTAGGTCACTTGCAACGGAGCATACCCCAGCTCCAAAGTCCAGAGAATGTTCCAAGCACCTCCAGGCCCAAGGCAGAGCAGGGCTGGCAAGATCCCTAAGGTGGGCCCACTGGGAGGGGTGGGGAGGGGAGCTGAGCAGACTGCCCCATGGGCCCCTGCAGGGGAGGCTGGAGGTGATGCCTGTCTGCCACGGGACAGGGTGAAGCCCTCAGGAGGAACTGAGGGCCTAGGGTCAGCTGGCCAGACTATCCTGAGCCCTCCTGGGGCCGAGGGGCACCATGTCCCGGCCAGCCCTGTGCAGTTCTGGGGTCACCCCCAGTTCGGCTCGCCCTACTCTGGCCCAGAGTCCCCCCGCTTCACCACAGCCGTGTCTACCCTCTACACTGGGGCTGCCCGGTGCCTGGGGCCGCGAAACCGATCAAGGCCTCGACAGGGTGGTCAGGGTGACGGCCTCAAGGGCCGTGGGGGAAGGGTCTGTTCCAGCCTCTCTCCCAGGCCTGTGGATGACCTCTTCGTGCTCATGTCATTCTCCTAGCATGCGCGTCTGTCCGCTAACTTCCCACTTTTATAGGGACACCAGTCTAACCGGATTAGGGCCCATCCAATGACCTCATTACCTTGATTCCCTCTACAAAGATCCTATCTCCAAATAGGGTCACCGTCTGAGGTCCTGGGGATTAGGACTTGAACACGAGGACCTGGGCTCCCGAGGGGCCCCCAGAAGGACAGAACTGTAAAGCAGATTTCCTTGGCGCAAGTCTCACTTGCATTGACTAGACCCCAGCAGGCGTCTCCTGGCCCCTTAGGAGCCCATCAATGGTCTGAAAAGCCCTGTGCACACCTCGGAGTCCAGATCCTTCCCTGAGCCATCTTTAAATTCCAGGTGGGGAGAGAAAAGGTGGCGGCTGCAGGTAACGGTCCTGGGCTTCTTTCTGGGGAAGCACGGCCCCCTGACCCCACGAGGCGCTTGGCCCCTCCGTGACGGTCTCGCAGACCACTGTCTGCAAGCATTTTGCATCTCGGCAGGCTGCACCATTTTCTATACAGCTTTGGCGAGAAACAACTCACACGCAACTCCCCCACTGAAGCGTATAATTCAACGCACAGAACCTTGCACCCGTCACAGCCAATTTCAGAACATTTTCGTCGCCTCAGAAAGGCGAGCCAGCACCCACCCCCCCATCCTAAAGCCCCGCCCAGACAGCCACGCATCTACTGTCTCTGGAGTTCCCTGGTCTGGATGTTTCATATACACGGAATCACATAGAGATGGTCACGCCGTGACCTTTTGTGGCCGCCTTTTGCACTTAGCACGGGGCTTTCAATTCCTCGGGGTTGTAGCGCGAACCCGCGCTTCAGTCCTTTCGAGGGCTAATGAACGCTCCGCTGTATGAACGTGCCACTTCCCGTATCCGCGCGTCTGTCCATGGACATTCGGGTTGTTTCCGCCTTTTGGCTCTTACGAATCACGCTGCTGTGGACGCCCGTGTACAAGTTTCTGTACGGATGTCTGTTTTTAGGTCTCTTGGGTTCACGCCTAGGAGGGGAATTGTTGGCTCCTATGGTAACTGACTAGGTTTTCCACTTTTTGAGGAACCACCAGACGATTTTCCAAAGTTACTGCGCCCTTTCCTATCCCCAGCGGCAGCGCGTGATGGTCCGTTTCTCCACATCCTCGCCCACGCCGACTATGATGTTTTTGATTCTCGCCGCCCTGGCGGGTGTGAAACAGTATCCCCGTGTGGTTTTGATTTTCATTCCCCTTATGACTAGTGACGTCGAGCATCTTTTTGTGGGCTTGTTGGCCACTTGTACGTTGTCCTTGGAGGGATGTGCATTCTGATCCTTTGCCCGTTTTTAAATTGGGTCATTTACCTTCTGCTTATTAAGCTGTCAGAGTATTTTATATATTCTGGATACGAGCCTCTCATCAGATATGTCCTTTGCAAATATTTTCTCCCGTTTTGTGGGTGGTCTTTTCATTTTTTTAATGGTGTCCTTTGAAGCACAAATATTTTACATTTTGATTATGGGACCATTTTAATGATAAAAGTGATCAATTTGACCTGGCATTTTTCTGTAGTATACTTAAGAATATGTGTGTGTGTGTGTGTGTGTGTGTGTGTGTGTGTGTGTGTGTATTTTTCCCCCTAAGATTTACTTCTAAGTAATATCTACACTCATTGTGGGGCTGGAACTCACAACCCTGAGATCAAGACCCTCAGGCTCCACCAACGGAACCAGCCAGGTGCCGCAGACAAAGTGTTTTGTTTTAAAGTCGGCTCCGTGCCCAAGGTGGGGTTCAAACCCAAACCCACAACCCTGAGATCAAGAGTCACATGCTGTTCTGACTGAGCCAGCCAGGTACCCTTAATATATTTTTAAAGGCTGGAGAAGAAGTCTCCGTGTAGCACTAAAAGAAGCCCCAGATTTCACATTGGATGCCCCTCCTCTGAGGTCCCCTAGCCGACTTTTGAGTTTCTCTCTGTTCCCTCCTCCCACTCATTCTCTTTCCGTCTGTCACCCCACTGCCTGTCAACTCTGAATCCCAAGTTCTTCTACAAGACAGAGCAATTCAGGTCTGTCAAGCTCCTGCCACCAAACTCACCCCGGATCCATCTGTGCTGAGGAGAAATGAAGGGCTTTCTCTCGGGTCACTTTCATTGTCCTCCTGTGTGGGGCTCATAAGCTTTTAAAATATAAGTTTCCTCCTCCATATATTTTGAAAGGATCCTGACAGAGGCCCGGGTTTCGGGTTTTCTGGTGGCTTGGAATTCCCAGGTCACGGGTTGGCTGAAGACACCTGGCTGTTGCCCTCCGACTGGTCAGCTTGTCCTGACCGAGGGCCCTGCACGCTGGGACAGCAGCCCGCAGCCTCAGCCCCAGGCAGCACTGTGGGCGGATGGCAACCCAGGAAGTGGCCCCTAAGCGGCTCCACCCAAAGGGGATAGATCCTACTCGAGCATGGCCATCAACCTGATTCTGCAGAGAATGTGCTCAGGTTGGTCCCTGGGAGGGAGATCACTTCAGAGACACAGAAAAACCACAAGACAGAGATGACAGCTGTTGTCCCGGCCCCCTCGCCCATCAGGGCTGCCCCCCCCAAGCTTACTCGAGTGCAGACTCCTGGCCCCAGCCCCCAAGTGATTCAGGGTGAGGGCATGGGATCCGCATTTTTAAGTTCCCTAGGTGATTCTGATGTGGAAGATTCCAGAAGTGCAGTTCCAGAGGCACTGATGTAGGTCCTGAATTCGGGGAGGAGTGGGAGGTGAATGAGGTGGTCCTCCCACTCATCACCCAGAGGTGCTGAGGAAGCAGTGACCCCTGGATGGAAAGGGAACTCAGTCCACCGTCTTCACAGCACTGAGCCGCGGAGAACCCAAGAGTTCTCCCTGAGGGAAGCGGTACACACTCCAGTGTGGAGGGACTGAGTGGATTTTTAGGGATTGGAGGGTGTTCTGTTGAACCGGGACTGTTCTGGGTCCAAGATGGTGACCAGAAAGGAGGTCCACAGGGGCCTCGGTTGTGGAGGGTCGTCTGGGTGGCCACTGATGTCACCCAGGACATGGGGCACTGATGTCACCCAGGATATGGGACACTCGTGCTCAGGGGTAACTTGAGGGCTGGATCTGGGGTCCCCATCCACGTGGCATTGCCTGGGACGTTGCAGAAGCAGGACAGTGGGACTCTTCTGGGAAATTCGGAGCAGCAGGTGGAGAGAGGGGCTGGGGTTCAGTTGCCCCAATCAGTCCAGTCCTTTAAAGCCCCAAACAGCCAGGAGCCGCTATGAGGAACCGCTGTTGCCAGGTGGGGCCAGGGCTATAGTCACAGGCTGCTGAGAAGCACCAGCTCTTCCGGGGAAAAAGAGCTTCCTGTAGCGGCAGCGCGTGGCGCAGCCAGGACAACGGTGGGGGTGGGG